AGGGAAACGGGGGTCGGGGGTGGGGGGTGGGGGCTGCGTTGGAGACTCAGCCTTGGGGCGATTTAATTGGGAACCCACAAAGATGTCTCTATGAGACTCGAGGGCGCTCAGCTCCCACTGGGGAGGCGCCCCCCAACCTTGGCTTCACTTTCAACAGCCCCGCACAGCTCTATCGCATTTATTTATTTTTTCTACAGTCGCCTTCCCCTTCCCCCAAGGCACACACACACACACACAATACCTCCTTTCTCTAACCCCCCTCTCCTTTCGGTCTTTGCTCCTGGCTGTCCCAGGGTTGCATCGGGAACCTTTCGCCGCTCTGGCCTCAACTGAGACCCGAGACCCGAGCTCCAGGCTTCAAGCGCGGACAGTTCCCCTCGGCTGCGGCTATTTTCGTTCCTTTCTTTCCTCCCTCCCCCCTCCTGACTTCAGCTTCCAAGAGGGGGCAGCCTGGAAACCAGCGAAGGAGGCTCCTGAAAGGGCAACTTGAAACTGCCCTTAACAGGCTCAACTTTTTTTTTTTTCTCCCTCAAATTTATCGGGGAATTAAATTAGACACCCCCATTTCACTCTCAAAGCCTACCCACTTTTTTTTTTTTTTAAAGAAGCGGAGAAAAGAAAATGGAACGAATGGGCGCCAATAGTGCATTTACCCCCTCCAGCAAAGTTCCCTTAAAAATGGATTAAAAAAAAAAAAAATAGAACGAGCGAGGTGAAACGCTGAGTCCGCAGCGCGGGGCGAAAGAGCGGGCTTCTCTTGTTTTAATTAAAAAGCAATCGCCACGGTTCCTCTGCGAGGTAGGTTCGGCAAGGATTTCTGCCCCTCCAAGCTGCTTTTCTTGGGTATGTAAAGCCTAGGTGGGCACCAGGCCCTGCAGGGCTGCAGAGAGGGGGGGGGGCGGCCCCTCTAACCAGGTCCTCACTCCCCGCGGCCCCAAGCCAGGTAGATGTGGCAGCTCAGGGCGACAGTACTCAGAAAGAATTTTGCTGAAAGCGCAAAATGGAAAGTACAAAGTCTGGCAGGGGGGAGGGGGAGGGGGCGGAGGGGGGGAGATGATCGGGGGCTCCCTCCCCCCACTCCTAGCTACCATGGCCAGCCAAGCACTTTTTGGGTTTGGCTGCGGCTCCCTCTGAGCTCAACAGATTTTTTTTTCTTCCCGGTCTCGCCCTCCCTGGAGGGGGCGCGGCGGATGGAAGGCGAGAGAGGCCCCCAGCCAAGAGGTTTTTAATATTACACTTTAATAGGTTTCAGGAGGCCCCGTGGAGAAGTGCAAACAGGCTGAAATGTCACAATCGAGGGGGATTTAGTTTGCGCTCAACCAAACTAATCCCTTTTTTTTTATTGCTGATTTTTTTTGGGGAGGAGGGCAGCCCACGTAGAGAGGCTTTGGAGAGGGGCGCACGGTCCAAAGCGCCGCAGCCCTGACCCAAGCGGAGCGAGGGAGGGGGTCGCGCCCCGTCCCCGTTTCTATAGGAACCCCTTTTAGAAGATTCGAGACTCACCCGCTGCCCGCCGCCGCGGCCTCTCCAAAATACTAATCAGTGACCATCTGACACCGCGGTTCACCGAGGACCCGCAGGCCGGGACTAGGAAAACGGCCGAGATTCTCGCCTCCCTATCCCCACCCGACCGCGCCGCTGGGGGGATGGGAAAGGGAATGAATCGTGGCTTTGTTTTAAAAGGAAAAAGGAAAAAAAAAAAAAGAAAAAGGAGGGGAAAAAGCAACAAGCCCTGCTTGTTTTGGCGTCTCCACCGCCTGCTCTGGAAGGCGCGCCACAGGGGAAGTGGGGGGCCCGGAGCGCGGGGTGCGGTCCGCAGGGCCCTAGGCCCTTCCCGGCTCGCTCGGCTTGTCACCTCCTCCAGAGAGCAGGAAGCTGACAGGCGGCCCATTAAACCGCGCCTTGCAAAGCTCTGGATTGCAGCGACAACCATCTTCCTCTATTTTGATCACTCAGCCCAGACGCTGGGGCAAAGAGGGGGGAGGAAAAAGGAGGAGGAGGAGAGAGGGAGGGATGGGGAGGGCGAGCTGGTGGAGGTTAGGGCTGCCTAGAAACGGCCGGGAAAATTTCTCACCACCAGTTTGGATCATTCAGCCCTACCGGGGGGAGCCTGGAAACCGCCAGAGCCCCTCCGTCAGTAATTGGTTTTATAGGGATGGCTGAGGGCCAAGGTGTTTACATGAGCGTGATTGGCGGTGCGCGCGGCCAATGAGCAGGCGGCCGGGGCGCGGGCGGGAGGGGCGGGCGGCCGGGAACAATGCGTGTTTCTTCGCCTGGAGCGCGCCCCTCCCCCGCCGCTCCCTCCCCCCCCCTCTTTTTTTTTTTTTTTTTTTTTTTTTAGATCTAGCAAGAGGAACTTGAAAGGGGGGTTGTGTAATGTACCTTTTCCAATCCCGGGCTGTATATGGAGATTTGGGATTCTTTAAACCGGCGCTACCTGGATTTTATTAAAAAGCGGGGAGCTCGGCGGGAGGAAAGCTGGCTTTTCCGGGGGCTGCGGGAGCCCGGCGGCGGGAGGGCGGAGGAGTTGGCGCGCCGAGCGCACGGCCCCGGGAGCGGTTTTCTACCAAAAAAAGGAAAGGCGGGCAAAAAGTGTGAGGCGGCCGCGGGTCGCGCAGGGAAGCGGCGGCCGCAGGATGGCGTGCAGCACGGGCGCCTAGTCGCGCCGGGAGCCGGGGCCGCCGCTGGAACTGGAGACCGGAGCCTGGAGCCCCGCCGCGCCAGGTACGCCACCGGTCCGTCCTTCTGGCTCTGGCCGGGCGCGATCTTCTTCAAACTTATCCAACCTGGCCCCCCACTCCCACGTTCTCAGGGTTCGCTGAGGAACCTCGGGAATCAAATCGGAAGCGGGTGTTTCTAGTAGAGGTGGGGGCGTTGCTGTGCTTCGGATGCCCACCGCGTCCCCAGCCCCATGCAGTCCGCGCGTCCGAGAAGAGGGGCGTCGGTCCCTCCATCGGTTGTCTGCAGGCAACAGGGGACCTAGAGACGCGGAGACGTTTCAGATTAGCGACTGGTTTTAATTAAAAGCCGGAATTCAGCCATTTTAACTGCATTTAAAGGGGAAGAAAAGTGGGAGGATGAAGCACAGCCTTCAGATGGCCGAAGCTGCGCCTCAGTCCCAGGCTGGGTGTTTTGGGGGGGCTTCACTTCGACTTCCCCGAAATAGTGAACCTGGGCACCCATTAGACAAACTCCAAACTCGCTGCTTTTAGAAATAGACTCAAAGGTCGATCTTTTAAAAAATCACAGGACGCTCATCTCCTCCTTAAGACAGGTATACTTGGATGTAGCGATCTTAGATTTTTCCAAAGTAAACGCGGATCTGGTAACCGGAGGCTGTTGGGGAGAGCGAGGGAGGGAGGGAGATGTTTGTTACCAAAACCGGGTTAAAATAAGCACTCTTAGCAAAGTTGGAGCGGGAAGCTAGAGAAGGGGACGGCGGGTCTGGCCCGGGGGTCTGTGACCGAGGGGTCTGCAGCG